CTCCCAGGAAACTTTGTGCTACAGTACTTGAGCATCCAGAACCAGGAAGTAATTCTTCTTCATAAAAACAGAAATGTCCCTTTCATGGCTTGAAGTTCTGATTAATCCTCGAATCAGAAGCCCTTTTTGTAAAAACTGCATCACTTAGTAACCATAGTTATAGAATCACACAGCTCTTTAAGACTTTCTTTTATATGTGCTACTCAACTATTATTAAACTTTCAAGTCATAATTAATGGCTAAATTATGCTATCACTTAAGGTAGCAAATTAAGTTTGAATAATCTTAACCCTTAACAATTTTTAAAACAACTTCATTTTGATTTGCCCGAAGTCTAAACTTCACATATATTTTCACGAATAGATTACATTTAGAGCTTACATCTTCCCCAAAATCTCAAGGTAAAATGAAATTCAGAGTCATACCAGCATTACTATCTTGGGATGCTAATTTATTTTCCCAACTACAATATTTATTTCCCAACTTTTCTATATTACTAATGAGGACTGATCTCAGGGTTTCAAAAACTTTTTAAAGTTTCAACTATTTGACTCTCGTCCAGGTTTTTTTCTACAGTTAACATGAAGCTTCAGGGGAGAAATATTCTAATGTTACTTTTTAAAGAAAATTCGCCTACCATCTTGCAGCTAATTGAGCTTGCTGCAGTTAAACTTCTAGTTTAAGAAAGGTCAAGTATCTGTCTCAGTTCACATTGACAATACTCATTATGTTTAGGAAAGTAAGTTCTATGCTCTATTTATTGTCACACTCACCATCTTCCGACTGTTTTTTCCCTACCATCATATTCAGCACTTTCGCCTGCGTTTTCCTGCCTAAACCTCTGAGGCACCGCAGGTCATTCTTCCCAGGTGCCCACCCACTGAGCTGAAGGAAGCATTTCTCCTGAGAGCTGCTTTCATCCCTCTCCACTCAGCCAGCGAGACAGACGGGCAGGCTGGCCACTCCCTCAGACAGGCAAGTAACTCTGTTCTGGGAGTTTTGACACTAAAGTATAACTGACTTACAATATTATATTAGGGAAATACTTTGTGACTGCAATTTCAACTGTTTATGGGCTCATGTCCCCACCCCCTCTCTTTTCTGGGTTTTGTTTTTTTGCAGCTTAATCAACAGTTAAGGGCAATATCACAGGCCTTCATTTTTAAAGGAAAATCATCTGGGTTACATTTGATATAGCAAGAAACCAAACAAGCAGATTAGCCTCTCAATAAAACTTCCTTTTAAAAACACCTAATATTTATTACAGTAGCAATACACATTATATGTGTTCATAGTCTTCTACTGGGTAAGTGTTTGGGACAAGATGCAAGATCAAATTATTATAACAAGAAACAATTTAACTGATAATAGTCTCCTTTAACTGATACATGTTTGAAGTAGCTTTACTTAGCTAGTGGAACATTCATTTCGAAAACAAGATAAGGGTCAAAAAAAAAAGACTCCAATCACTTCCAGCAATTAACAACACCTAGAAGGCAAGTTCATTTAATGTTGGAATATGGGCTAATTTCTATGCTGTGGAATGTCAAAAATCTCTGAAAAGATACATTTTAAAACTGTGAATCAAGATACTCAATATAGTTGTTAATAAAATCACAGCCACAAGAAACCTTGAGTCTTCAAGGTTTAAAAACAGAGTCCAGTTATTTAGAAAATGATAAAAAAAAAACAGAAATGAAACAAAATGACCTCTTAAAAATGAGAAGATTATTAAAACAATGAAAATCTACACATTTTTAAAATCACTGGATGGAACCCTATATGCTACATTTTACATAAGTTCTTTGTATGTTATAACAGTTACAGAGCATCAGAGTCAATAAAACAAATAGGAGAAGTAAGAACACTCTTGTAACCAGAGATATAGAATTCTAATTCAGGAAGTTATTCAGCAGCTTATAAAGAAATAGGAAGTTGTTGACCAACTACTTGAAGAACTATTTCCTGTAGGAAAACTGTAAGACAGATGAAGAAAGCAGTAATTCTCAAAGCAATAAAAGAATTCTCTTAAAGCTCAATACACAATTTTGAAGGAATTAGTTTTAAACAGTAAACTCAGTAGAACAAATATTATACCTAATATGCAGACTAAACTTTAAAAAAAAATACTTCACAGTCTTACCAGAACCTGAATGTGTGTCACTGATAAAATAGCTAGGAGCATACTTCCACCTTATCACTTGCCAACCTAAGGCACAAGTCTTCTCCAGAAAATCTCACTGATGGAGGCAGGGCTTTAAAAATCCCAACAGTTGCCTGCCTGCAATCCTTCAGTAGTTATGCTGCCTTGAAACAATAGGATGGGCCAACTAACTTCAAAGTCATTTATCTAATGTCACAAGACAATAATCAGTGGCTTCCAAAGTAAATGTTTCTAAGTTTTAAATTATATCATCTTGCAAATTTGGACCATTTATGGTCAGATTTCTCCATGCCAAGTGTGTATTTCAACACATTATATACTTTGTAACTTAAAATTAGTGCCAACAAGTATGTAAAAAAAATGTATAGTAAGGTACAGCTTTCACTGTTGAAATGAGTGTGAAGTCTCTAACTAATTTAAATCTTCATTCACCATCTAGCCAGCAATAAGAATCTTCTTTAGACACAAGAGGAAAGTACTGCTGACTGCAAAGAGACCTTGACTTTAAAATATCAAACCCAGAATAAAAATGAACTTTGATAATTAACAACCCGGCTCCAAAAACTTCATTTATTACCTTCAACTCTAAGTCAAGGCAGATACTAATCTCATTTCCTGTGCAATACACAAAAATAAGTTGTTGAAGACAACTCACATGCCCCACGATATCATGGAAATAGCCACCAACTGGATGTGAACTAATCTTTGTATAACTCTTCTCCAACTTACACCCTGCTCATAAAGCAGATCCTTTAGAAGATACTAAATTTGTAAGTCCACATCCATTTTCCACATCCAGTGCTTAGGGGCCCTCTCTGTAATTCCTGATGTGTACCAACTAACCCATGATTTTGCTGACTTTTACTAACCAAGATCCATCCATAAGGGGACACCTTTTTATTTCTGAAGGTTTGATGTGAGCCAAATATTCCTTGGGAGTCAAAAATCTTCATGATTCTTATCACATAATAAATCTAACTTTACTTCCAGTGAGAATCTCTCAAAAATCTTGAAAAACAATCATGCTAATCTATCTTCTTTCCCGTTTTTCTTTTCCGTGGCATAATTCTCCGACCTTTTTCTCCTGGTTTACCTTCGCTAGAGGCTCCCTTGAGTGGGGTGTTTGGGGTGGGGGGTGTACATGTGTGTATCTTTTGTTAATCCACCTTTGAGAGAAACACTTTCTCAAAGAAAGCAGCACTGGGAAGCTTTAAAAAATAAAATACAGAACATTTCAGGTCAAAACAAAAAGATCGTTAAATGTACATACATAAAAATGTAGGCAGATGTCACCTCAAAGCAATTATTACAAGACACAGAGACGAAAAGGGGAGCATAAATGTTGCTCTTTAATCACAGACTTTCAGCCATAACATCAGCCAAAGGAGAGAGGCAAGCCGGCTATTAAACTGTTTAAAACTCTCCCCAGGTCAGCGTGCGACCCAGCAGGGAAAGGTTCAGAAAAGTACAGCCTTTCTTTTTCCTAACAACCTGGTTTGTTTCCACTCCTTTTCCCTTCAAGGCACATCCCTCACAGCAAGCAACTCTTTCAACCATTTACTGGGGACGTCTGCTTCAGAACAAATGATCTTGCTCATGCAGATGAGTTTGCCAGACTTGTGTGTACCTTCCAGTCTCAGGCGCTTTATTGTTCTGGTTGAAACCTGACCCTCTGAAATGGATACTGGGACACCAGAAAACGATTTAAAAAAGAAAAAAGTTGCAGGAAAGGGGGGCAAAAAACTGCAGAAACTTTTCAAGATCAAACTTTTCCCTCTGCTTTTCTCCTAAATAAGCTTGTCACAAAACTGTATCTTACACTGAAAGTTAACAACCTGCCCTGAAAGCCAATATAAAATATTAAGATATACAACAAAACAGTATTATTATTATTGTATTATCTGAACTAATGAATAAATGTTACATTTGCCTTGGGAGGAGACTGTCAAAGACAGATGTCAATCAAAACTTGGATTGTTTTTTATTTTATCATCTCAACATGATTGAACAGAACTAAGCAACTTTTTGAAAATATCAATTTCAGCCTATAATTACTTGTAGGAAACATTCTGTATATACTTATGCCAAAGAAGCCAAATAAGAATATTAGAGTCTTATCCATAATTTCAAAGTGAGAGGAGACAAAAGTCTACTTTGATCTTTTCAGCGTCAATGAAAATCTGCCATTTTGTTAAACACACAAAAAATTAGGCTGAGAAAAACAAATAACCCAATAGCCTTGTTTCCGTCTACCCAGAGAAGAGGGATTCTATTTTGAAGACCTGCTGGCTCAAAAGAAGTTTGCCATTGAACTACTGTATATCAAATATGAAAAGCGTATTTCTCTTTGCTTTTTGAAGGAGAAAATGACAATACACATCAAACTGCAGCTAAAGGATCCGTCACCTCATACCTAAAATACTGTAAAATCAGATTTCCAGGGAAGTCCTACCTATTTTTATAGTTCTTTTCTACCAGTAAAATGTTTAAAAAGGTAAGTAGTGCCGTACGAACTTATAAAACTATGCCAGCCTCCTAATTCTCACAATTTGAAATTCTTCACGGGATCCTTTCAGTTCTGAGCTAGGCTAATTAACAGGTTTGGCACAAACTCAAAATGAGAACATCCTAACTGCCACAAAAAAAGTTTAGTAAGAGGCTATGAGCCAGGAATCCATAAAGCTTTCAAAATATTACCCAAAGAAGGTATTTAGGTCATACTATCCTGGAAAAAAAAGAAATTATGGAAGAGATCACTGAGCTTGACATAAACATTAAGGAAAATTAATCATATCTTGGTACCAGAAAAACGATCTCCCACCCTTCTCCCACTTACTTTAAGAAGTACCTCTGACCGGAAGATGTCTTCGCCATCTCCCAGCCGGCTGGCAGAGGCACATCGTCAGGGATCTCAAAGGAAGACTGTCGAAGGTGCTGAGCGGCCGGTGCGGCGGCCGGGCCGGGGACCACTCCCGTGGGGGTCAGCGTCCCCGGAGACACGGCCCCCAGCTGCAGGGACGCGGGGGACGAGTGAGCCCGCACGTGCTGCGGAGTGAGCGCCCCGGCGGTGCCCGCGTCGGTACTGGCCTGCGGGAAGGTGGAAACAAAGACTTCTTAAGACACGTTCTCAAAGAGAATCCTTGCAAACTTCTTCAATAGATATTTGGTTGCCATGAAATTCTAAATACCAAAGGTAAATTTTAACATTTAATGTCTAACACAGAGGAATACAGGTTGCAGATGGATACTTTTAAATGCTGAGGTAAACGCCAAGGCGGGTGTTTTTCCAAGGTCTGAACTGTTTTAGGTATAAACAAAACCCAAAGAATAAAATGACTATGTACTCCCCACCTTTTTTCAAAACTAAGTTTTACGTAATGGTTTTTTTCTAAGCCAAGCCCTAAACACAAGACAGGTGTCGTTTTTTTCTCACCATGGACAAATGTCATCAATACAGCAACCATCAAAATTTATACAACTTTTAAGAACTACAAAAGATCCAGAAACATCCAAATATTCTTTAAAAGCCACCTAATGAATGAAATATAAACCCACCATATATTTGTACCTAGATGATAAAGATGTCAACAATGTAACTACAAGGTAACTTAAGAATTTACGTACTTACATATTTACAACTGTGTACCAGCAGAAAACCTCCTGAACTCAGACCCTAAAGATACGGGTTCCAGTCCAACCTGGCTAGTGTGACACACGGGACAGTATCTTACTCTCTGAGCCTCAAGTTTCCTCATTTGTAATAGCTTTTTTTTTTTCCCATGATGGAAAAATGAGGCAATAAATGAACTTATATTCAAACATTCAATAATTTGTGAACAACAGTATTGACAACCCATATTCATACTATTCATAAGCAAATAGTTATTTAAATTCCTTAGAGTTAGGGTTTGATTATCAAAAAGTTAGAATTTCCCAGATTGATACAGCCAAGGAAGACAGACTGGAAGCAATCAGCAAGGGCATCTATGCCTTGATGTTAAATCATATACATTCTGAGTTTCCAAGCAGAATAAACTGGAATTTAGGACTCATTAGCATAAATAAAAGTCAAACTTACAGATGCACACCACTTGGTCAACAAACACATTAAAACAAACAAAACTAGTAAATTCTGAATATTATGAATCCATAAACTGCTGAAACAAACTTTCATGCAATCATTTACTAGAATAGGCACACTTTTCATTGGCAATTCTTTTCGGCTTATAGATGCCACAAAATGGGGAATTCAGCCTCCTATGGGTATTATACTTTCGAAACATATTAACTAGCAGCATAGCTGTGGAGACGGTGGGGTGCAATGCCAACACGCATTTTTACCCATGAGTCTGGAAAGTCATTTCCAGGGGTAAGAGAAAGAAGCATCCCTAAGTCTGCTACTTTTTTTGTTTGTTTGTTTTTTGATGTCTACTTCTTACAAACTGAAATGTTTAGGGCAAGCAGCTGAACTGCTTTTCCTTCCTCTCCCTTAACCCAGGTTTTTGTCAGCAGGTTAAGCGAGTTTTTCTGAGTTCCCAAACCCCTTGGTCTGAGGGAGAAGAACTTATCACAGGCCTGCAAATAGGAGGGGCGATGGGAGTGGGGGCGATAAGTGTTCTTTCCGCTCAAGTTACAGCCGAGTGGACTAACTTCATCGCAGTATTTGGAAAACCAATTAACTTTTGGGCAAAGTTCCTATGCTGAAGTTTAGCCTGAAGCAAGTTCTTTTTTTAAAAAGGAAGGACAGAAAGAAAACTCTCCCCTAAACAAATCTGGGACCGATCGGAATGTTAACACTTTTATGATACACAGTTGCACTTCAACGCTGGATCACGTTGACAAAACAATCGAACGCTGTGTATGTGGAACAGCCATGTTCATATCCTCAGTAAGAATTAAAGAGCAATGGCGAGCCTCGAATTAGTCATCGCTTCCCAAACATTAAGTTCTAATCACAGCTGAACTAGGCAGGACTCGGCCTGTGAGTCAACCTGCGGAGCGTTATCAAAGGCTTGTGTTAAACCCCAGGCGCGGTGCAACCCAGCCCAGGGCCCGCGCGCCGTGCAGATGTGGCCCATTTAAAAGCATTTCAGCGGGCTGTAAATAATCGTCCGCCGTGGGGAAGCCAGCACGTGAGCCCACTGCGTTTCGGGGGAGAGTGAGCCTGCGCGAGCTGCAGAGCGCAAGGGGGAAGGGCCGGGGTGAGAGCGCCCAACTCCATAAACAACTTCCAGGAAAGTCTGGATCCTGTGCTCGGCGAGCGCCGGGGCCGCGAGGAGGAGAACTGCTCCCGGGAGGGGGCGGGGGACAAAGAGCCCGGGACCGCCCGGGCCGGTTCGAGCCCCGGCCCTGCTCCACGCTGGCCAACGAGGGCACGATTCCGTGCCTCCCCGGGAGACGGGCGGGGG